CCTGCCTTGTCCTCCCAAAGTGCTGGGATTACAGGCAAGCGCCACCATGCCCAGCTAATTTTTTTGTATTTTTAGTAGAGACGGGGTTTCACCATGTTGACCAGATGGTCTTGATCTCTTGACCTTGTGATCCACCTGCCTCGGCCTCCCAAAGTGCTGGGATTACAGGCTTGAGCCACCGCGCCCGGCCCCTAGCCCTTATTTTGTGTAGTAAGTTATAGCTCCAATTGACTGATGTGGCAATAAACTCAGTGACTTCACTATCAAAATTGGGTTCATGTTCTAGGCCATCTGACTTTGTTTTCCTTTGGTGTTCATTCTAAGATGGATTGGCACTACTTTTAACTTAAATATATATATTTTTTGTAGGCATTCCAACCCTAGGGAAGAATGTGGTTGTGGCTGGAAGGTCAAAAAATGTTGGAATGCCCATTGCAATGTTACTGCACACAGATGGGGCACATGAACGTCCTGGAGGTAAGGAAATTGCTTTCAGGGAGCACTGTCCTCTTTTCCCCATGTAAGAACTTTCAGAAGTCATCCTGTGCATGTTTGGAAGTATTAACTCTGTTATACTTTGTATTTGTTGTAATTTTGTTAACAGACAATTCAGGGAGTAGCCTTTGTAGAGAAGCTGCACCCAGTGTCATCTGAGTTTCTTTATTATTCATTTATCATGTAACTAGCTTCAGAAATAAATTTAAGTTTTGATAGAAGCGTGATTATAGGAAATTAGAAAATTTCAGCTATAGCTTTGATAGCTGGAACTAAGGAGTAGTTCTTATTCAAAGATAGTATCCTGTTCTGTGTCATTTAGTGGAAAAGATCTTAAGCCATTGCAAAGAATTGGATTGATAGGACTGTAATGTGTCCTGTCAAGTGCTGTTAATTGGGTCTGAGGAAAAGCCTTGTCAGTCAGTTACCACGTAATTATTGTAATAATGACCTTACATGTTTATATCAGAAATAATGGCAAGACTATATTTTCAATTATCTTTCAACATACTTAGAAATAGTAAAATTCTTGAAAGTCTTTAAAGTAGAATGAATAAATTTAATTATATGACTCAAAACAGTCGAGCTGGTTAAAGCTATACAAAATTAGGTATTAATTTTAAAAAAGTAAATGACAATTAGCTGTCCAGAAAATATGGCACAAGCCATTAAGTCTTTCTTTTTTTTTTCCTCTCTGTTGCCTGGGCTGGAGTGTAGTGGCATGATCTCGGCTCACTGCAACCTCCACCTCCCAGGTAGCTGGGATTACAGATGTGCACCATGATGCCTGGCTAATTTTTGTATTTTTAGTAGATACGGGGTCTCACCATTTTGGCCTGGCTGGTCTCAAATTCCTGACCTCAGGTTTCCGCTCACCTTAACCTCTCAAAGTGTTGGGATTACAGGCGTGAGCCACTGCGCCTAGCTGTAAGTCCAGAGATACTGAGTTTCTACAGTGTTTGTAGTTTTTCAGAGATGTTGAGTTTCTACAAAGACATGACTAGTTGAGACCTAATGCAATCCCAGCTTTGTGTCAGAAATCCAGACATCTAGTTTTTTTTTTTTTCTAGGTGATGCCACTGTTACAATATCTCATCGATACACTCCCAAAGAGCAGTTGAAGAAACATACAATTCTTGCAGATATTGTAATATCTGCTGCAGGTAAGAACACAAGGGGGCGGAGGGAAGGACTTTGCCTCAGAAGAGGATGTTGTACCCCTCATCTTAGAATTTGCCTGCCTAGTTGCCATTCCATTCATCATTCCCCTCATAATGATTCTTTGAGCTACCTACAAAGATGAGGGTAGAGTTGTGATTGGAATACTGGTTTCAGGCATTCCATTATAGACTGGATGGGTGAATGTTATTTCTAAAGCTTCAAAATATTTATATTTACTGTATAAAGTTTAAATGGTTCCTTTTGTTTTCTGTCGGAAGCCAAAAATAAATAATAAAAGTAAGTGGTTCCTTAATATTTGTAACAGATTTTAATAAAACATGTTAATTAGTTCTTCTAGGTCTCTTGAAATTGAAATTAGATAAGAACCTGACAAGTTGGATCTTTCCTGTCTCCATTTCCAGGCATTCCAAATCTGATCACAGCAGACATGATCAAGGAAGGAGCAGCAGTTATTGATGTGGGAATAAATAGAGTTCATGATCCCGTAACTGCCAAACCCAAGTTGGTTGGAGATGTGGATTTTGAAGGTAAATGGCATAATTTTATTTTAAAAACTGAAATCAATAAATACTGCCTTTCATGGACATTCAGGATAGATTATTTACTTTTTATGTAACTTGTATGCTCATGTTACCTTGGTAATATTGTTTAGTATGCTTTTTTTCTTTTTTTGAGACGGAGTTTCACTCTTGTTGCCTAGGCTGGAGTGTAGTGGCACAATCTCAAAGGCTCACTGCAACCTCTGCCTCCCTGGTTCAACCAATTCTCCTGTCTCAGCCTCCCAAGTAGCTGGGATTATAGGC